ATCTCTGATGTTATCAAGAACGAGAGTGATTTCTTATCCCTCCCATTCTTATCATTCCCATAGACAGGGCGTGCTTTAGTACCTTAAAATAGCCAAGACCCGTAATTATTAATAAACTAACGACCGCAACGCGGGATATAACAATACTATAATAACAATTTACATAATTTTGTTCAGGAGAGTCCCGATAATTATTTCGTGCTAAAAGAAACTGAATAACTATGACTGTAAAAGCACAACACACCTCTGAAGTTAGAAATTTGCAATTTTTTTAAAATTGATTTTTGCAGAAACTGGACGTGCTGGAGAGAAACAGTTTCCTATTCGTATTTAGCTCATAAAGACCTATCAGAAACGCATCTGAACGGTTATAAGGTAGAAAAAAACTTCAAATTTGTAGAACAGTATAATTTTACTTCGTTGTTAGATTTTTCTGACGGGGATCTTTTTGTGACTCACAAAAAAATGAACAAAGCTCGTCTCGAAGACACAATTAAATGATAGGATATTTAAAAAACACTTCGATTAGCTCGATAGCTCTCGTAAGATTGGTAAAAGTTTATGATAATTGTAACTATTATGCTTGAATCAAAATAACGTGCGTCGTAACGAGATGGGCGCATACATATACATAAGTAAATGTATGCGCAAGATTTAGAGTAGCACTGTCGTTCTTTATTACCTTGACCCCTTTGTATAAGGCAGGAACAGATGGTGGGGATGTCACGCAGCCGATCACATGCGAGTCAAGCGTTACATTTTCTTGAACAATCATGTGTGAGGTCTTTTCCGAAAACACGAGTCCCATAATCTCGGGAGAGATGACCAAATGTCATCACTTCAGTTTTGTATTCACTTTTCAGCAAATATTATACTAAAAGGAATGTTTCCCACTTTTTCTGAATTAGCGTACAATTTTTAAATTATTACTTTCATTCTGAGGCATTGATATCGATTTGATTTAAGGTGGGGCAACTCACGAATTTACCCTATGTCTAAGCTTGGAACTATTTACCTTAGGTGCATACGGTGTCTGTCGTGAAAGAGTGACATGATAATAAAGCTGAAAGATATTATAGTTCAACAAAAATCGTGTATCCTATAGTTGAGTTAACAATTGTTTATTTAGTTTCTGAACAACGCTGCTGGTATTCTGTAGCTATAAATAATGCATACGGAAGAAAATTCGCCTGGTACCATTTTTTTGGCGTGTCTGACTATCACTGGACAATTCTGTTCGCGCCTTCGTGCTTAACCTTCCGTGTACTGGACTCCCGGGACGTCCGAAGCCGGATGATTTCTGACTCACATCGATAATTTACTAACACAAAGTCACGGTGGCTTGAGCTCGAAGCCATTTCCAACATTGTAGATGTTTTGTCAACTAGAAGGACGGACAGCAAGTAATAAAGGAAATAGAGTGAGCCGAAGACATAAGTCAATACTTCTAGGGCGTCTTAACCCTGCCGTTTTCATAGAATGTCAATCGTCGAACAGTTCCCGAATTACACGACAGCTTCATCCCTGTGTGTGTGTCGCACTCGCGAACGTGTGACTCCGGCACCGTGCACGGAGGATTAAAGCAAGGGATCCACCGGAAAGCTATGCTAAATTACGCTATACAATTTGTAGGATATCCATCGAAGCGAAGCTGTGCTATACTATCTTATGCTGTGTGTATGAACATTTTTGAACCACACTGCATCTACCGTCAGTTTAAGAGTAGTGTCGTGCAAAACGTGTGCGAGCTCTGCTGGATCTAAGTTCGAAGGAAGAAGAATCGGACTTTGAAGAGTTGTTAAAAATACACATTTCTTTTTCTATTTGGCAAAAGGAAAAGAAAACATCAATTCTGAGTATCGGCGCATATAAAGGAAAGAGAAAAAAAGAGAGTGCCATTTATGCTGGAAGAAGCTTTCGAAAAATTGAAGAATTGTTTAACTTCGACTCCGATTTTAGCTTTCCCTTCTCCACATGAATCTTTTATCTTAGATACAGATGCTTCAAATATTGGTATAGGGGCAGTTTTATCTCAAGTACAAGATAATATTGAAAGAGTAGTTGCGTATTTCAATAAATCTTTGAATAAGGTAGAAAAGAATTATTGCATTACTAGACGATATTCATTAGCAATTATAAAGGCTATAGAACATTTTCATCATTATTTATATGGAAGGAAATTTATAGTACGAACAGATCATGCAACTTTGAGGTGGTTACTATCGTTTAAAAACCCAGAGGGTTAAATAGCAAGGTGGATTGAACGTCTTCAACAATATGATTTTGAGATCGCACGTCGAAACGGAAAATTTCATTCTAATGCTGATGCGTTGTCTAGAAGACCTTGTTTAGAAATTAGTTGTAAACATTGTGTTAATGTTGAGAATAAAGAGAAACTATCACAAGTTGAAGAGATTACAGTTTTTCGTACACAATGGGAATTGTTTGATGTTCAGGATTGGATCTCTTCTCAAGAGAAAAATCCTAATTTAAAACTAATATTGAGTAGTAAAATGTCTGATAAAAAGCCTTCTAAAGAGTCATTATCACCTTTGTCCCCAGAAATTAAATTTTATTGTTCTATTTGGGATTCTCTTCAGATTAAGAGTGGACTTTTATATAAAAAATGGGAATCTTCTGATGGACGGAAAATAATTTGGCAACTTATCGTACCAATGGATAAAAAGGATATGATTCTACAGGAAGCTCATAACTCTCTTTCAGGAGGCCATTTCGGCGTGAATAAAACATTAGCTAAGATTAGGAATCGATTTTACTGGGTTAATTGTATTAGGGATGTAGAAGAATGGTGTAATTATTGTAATGTTTGTATATCTAGGAAAGGACCACGTGACCGAGGAAAAGGGTTACTACAAATTTATAATGTCGGTTTTCCTTTTGAACGAGTAGCTATGGATATTTTAGGACCCCTTCCTAGATCATTTTCGGGAAATCGTTTCATGTTAGTCGTTTCTGATTATTTTACGCGTTGGCCGGAAATAATTTCTCTACCTAACTATCAAACAAAAACAGTCGCTGAGGCCTTTATCACACATATAGTGAGTCGTCATGGAGTCCCTCAAGAAATTCATTCTGATCAAGGCCGTATGTTCGAATCAAATATTTTTAAAGAGGTTATGGTTTTATGAGGCATTAGAAAAACTAGAACGACTCCATTACATCCTCAATCAGACGGTCTAGTAGAAAGATTAAATAGAACTATTTTACAGTATCTTTCAATGTTTCTTTCGGATCATCAAAAAGATTGGGATGAATTAGTTCCTTTGTTTCTTTTGGCTTACAGATCGGCCCAACATGAAACTTTAAAATTATCTCCATCTATGATGTTATATGGTCAAGAGATTTCTTTACCTTTGGATTTATCTAAAGGAAGGCTCCCAAGTGACTATACGAATAATTTTGATAATTTTACTTCTAACTTGAAGGACAGGATGGATTCTATTCATAGATTTATTCGAACACGGTTAAAAATTTCATCACAAAGAATTAAACAGTATCATGATTCTAAAATGAAAGAAAGGTTATTCCGTGAAGGAGAATTAGTGTGGTTTTATCAACCTCACAGAGTTAAGGGCAAATGTCCAAAGTTACAATCTACTTGGGAAGGACCTTATTTTATTGTTAACAGATTGAATGATGTTGTTTGCAGGATTCGTAGGAATCCAAGAAGCAAATATAAAGTAGTTCATGTTAACAGGTTAGCAGAATATAAGACAAAATGTTGAATGGGTGAATGTTTATAAATAATTAGTTACATTATAAAGAGTTAGGTAGTTAGGATTCCCCACTTCGTTTCGCAGGCTCGGCGGAAGGATGGAAGGGAATGGGTGTCGAAGCGTTCTGCTACGAAGATGTGTCATTGATCCTAGCTTTGTGCAAGATGGAAATGACCGGAGAACTTTTGAAGTATGAATGTAAATGTACTTACTCCCCGCATTCTATCTGGGAAGGATGTAACCAGGTCAGAACGACGAACGGGAGGAGGATTGAGATGGTTTTGGCTACGGTTGTTGTTAAGCAAAGCCGACTTTAGCAGCCGTCTCAATCGAAGTACACTGTGAATGATACATGGTAGTGACTGTAACCGTAGTTAGGCATATTTATGCTCTTTTCTTGCTGTTTTTCTGTCCTCTTTTCTTTTCAGAGATGTCGAAAAAGACAAGTTACTGTTTGGGAAAATGGAAAAGGATTTCTTTGACGAAGCAGAGAAGTATTTTTCCTTGAGGACGGATACTTTTGAAGACAATGAAAATTGTTATGCAAGTCCTCAAGATTGATTATTATTGTTATTATAAATTGTTAGATTGTTTTGTTGGCCGCGAGCCTCCCCAGGTTTTTAAACCGTGATTTTCCCTGGGGCAGAAAATGTTTTTTGGGCGAATGTCAGGTTAGTTTTTGGTTTTGATGGGTCCACGATAATTTTACTATCAATAATTATTCCCACGAAACCAAAGGCCTGTTTCTTCATGAAAAAGAATTATTTATGTTATATAGAGTGTTATATGTTAAATTGTAAATGTATTTGAGTCTTAAAAGAGGAGGAGGGGGGAAGTGTTACGTGTTACCCGATAGGTAGCACGTATTGTATAATGTTAAAGCGAGAGACTTCAGGTTAGCGACGTCGTTTTGGTAACAACGCCCAAACAGAGACAGAGTAGAGTCGTGATACAACTATAGAATAGAAAGGACGTGTTAAGATAAGTACTCCTCCTCTCCAAATAAATAATTCTTCCTTTTTATTAATATTGCCTTTATTTATTCGGAAGTCATGCCGCGTCCACGCAACAATATATAGAGATGAGCGATTTAAAATTAGAAATTATAGATAAGGCGTAGGATTAAGAATAGGATATGTATAATTTGTATAAATTGTAACCCTAAGGGTAACAATAAATGCTTATATATATTAACAATAATAATTTATAACTTTGAATAGTTATTTCGATTACCTTATTCGACATTCAACTTTCATGTTATAGGGAATGCATTTCTGGTGAACGTCGCGTTGGCAGACCTATTAGTGACAGGCTTGGTGATTCCAGTGTCTGTGATCGTGATTTTGGCCGGACACGAAGGGTCATTGAGCACATGCCGATTTGAATGGACACTCGAAGCTCTGTGCTTTTTAGTCACGGTACTCACGTTAGTAAAGATCGCCGCCGAAAATTACACTCGTCTCTGTCTACCACCGGAAAGGTGAGGACGGTCGTCAGGCACGATTATAAATACATTTATTTATTTAGATATTAATCCATTACACATCTTTACATGCCATTAAACTTATTCTAACTCAATTATAATTCAGTCATTTCCCAGTTATTGATCACCCTACCTAATGTTTACAGCACATCGAAGTTTTTATTATACATGCTTTAAGACCAATGTTTGAGTAATTGATCACACATACTCTGAATAATATGACGCTAAAGTTTAAATACACCATATTTCCCCACTTTTTTCCTAATACAAATCTACACACCTAATTGTATTAGATGCGGCAATTGGTAATTTCAGCCATACACTGATTTTTTGAATAGAAACGCGATGAATTTTCAACGCAGAATCTGCTTAAATTAAAAAAGCCGGGTATCGTTGACCCTTTTGTTACGGCAGATTTCAATATAAAAATCAAATAGGCCTATATAGACATTACACGCCAAGCAAATTTACAAAGCATCCATTGCCGTTGACAGGCATGAAAGCTTTGTGGAATCGGGACCTCCATCCCCAACAAGAAGGAGTAAATAACATCATTGGAAAATGGGAGGACTCCATGTAGAATCGTGTAGAATACTATAGAATCTCGGTTTTCGGCGCCGGGAGTCGTAGGTTCAAATGCCGATTGGGCCCTCATTTTTTCCAACGCTCCTACAGCTTTAATATATCATAAATACTTAGGTGGGTCAGTCGTAATACAGAGTTTGACGTAAAAGCTACGATGGGTCACTCATTGGTATGGCTGACAATAGTAGTTATACTAGGCCGATTCTGGACCGCGGATCCAACGGAAATGTCGCTGATAACAGTATTGCACTCGTACACAAGCCAGATGTGTCCTTGATAGAATTTTTGGAATTATTATGCTATTGCATTCGTACCTATAACAGATCAAACCCGACTCCAACGGAAATATTACGCAATTGCACGTGGACATACCACAGACCTAGATTAGATTAGATTAGATTATGTCATTGTATCCCGGAAAGAGTTTCTATTATGACCCCTCCCTCTCCCTATCTCTCTGACCCAGGTGATCAATCCTGTCGTCTGTTGCTTGTTTCCTTACCTAGATGGTCCATACGCATTGTCCTTCCAGGTTGTTGTGCGACCTCCCGTCCTTGATCACCAGCACCAATGTCCAGCTGCTCATCGAGTGTGGCCTTCCGATCCCAACGGTAGGGTGACCAATGACTCCCTCCGTCTGGATTCCATAGGTCCTACGGCTCGACTGCATCCTTGTACGGGGACTGAGGGATAGTTTCAGTGTCTGGGTATTTTGGATCTAAAACATCCCAACAACGCCCCTCCATTCACAAACGGTTTGCATGTCCCGAGTTCATGGCAATCACATGCCCGCCTGACAGGACACTCTCATTCCGTATCGTACCATACCTATCCTTGCGGATATGATGCCTCCGGAGGTGTCGATCCCGGTCACTTGTGGAGATTACGGGCTCGACACTAGCCTGTCCTTGTCCCGGCGCTCGGGGTCTGGGTTAGGTTATACATGTCCTATTTTGTCCTCCTCTCCTTCTGATGATCCACTATTCTCCCTCTTCTCTCGTTCGTGCCGTCGTTCATCCCGTATCTGAAACAAAAAGGTCACCCTCCTTTTCGCATCCAGACCAGAGTCGAATCTACAGACAGGATCCCAGGCAACGCCACGTGGAGGCCAGAGGGCGTGATTCTCGGAGCCTCCAGACTTCTCCGACCGACTAAAACATGCTAATAAGGTGTCGGATCCATCTGGACATTCTTCCATTATCCCAAAATGGAAAAATCCCCTTGATCTGCCGCCCTACCATTTTTTTACGGGGGAAAACTTTGACAAGATGCACCGCGTCCGCTGGGAGCGGAGACGGTCAATGCGGGATTTCACCACACACTGCGACCAGCCCCACCCTTGCCCTGCCTCTGGTCTTTGAGGGAGGGCTCTTCTCTGGGGGGGGGGGGTAGCTCCCACCGGTCCAACTTTTTTAGGCCCGGGCCACATGAAGACACGAAGGTTCTCGTTCCAGGGGGCGGAGAATAACTAGGACGCCCCATAACTACCTAAGGTATTAGCTATGGAGTATAAACGTCGGGGAATCACATCCTTCATCTCCAAAGGTGAGGACCAGCTCACTCTTGCCTTCTCCCACAGACCGGGTCTGTACAAATGGGGATGCCTACGTCGTAACGACTTCGCCGAGAGAGAGTTAGATCGCCTATCTAAACCCCGTAACTTTATCTACCTATGTCCCGAATACTTCAGGAGCCCCCCTCCGTCTATTTACCCCTGTCAATCTACCACCCCCTGTCCCCAAGGATAAGGAGGGAGCACCGGTGCTCCAATAGAGTACATAGGAGGCCTCTCTATACCACAGACATAACCCAGAAATGCAACGAAAACTTCTCACGCTATTACACGCGTAGATGACACAGGCCTGACCTTGATGGAATTTTTGGAATCACAACGAATTTTGGAATTATTATGCTATTGCACTCGTACCTATAACAGATCAAACCCGACTATTGGAATTATTACGCGTTTGCAAGTGTACCCATAACAGATCAAATCCGACTGCAACGTCGAATTATAACGAAGTTTGGGCATTATAACGCTATTGCAAGTGTACATAAGCCAGATCTAACCTGATTTCACCACGGAAAGTTAGTTTTAATAAAATGACGAATTATTTTAATATTATGCAATTTCACTCGTGCATACATAAGTCAGACCAGACCTTGATTGAGTTTCATAAGCGACGAAATAGGAACTGTGGTGTGGGGAGATCGTGTCCCGACACGCATCATCTCAAGTTACAGCGGCAGGCGATAACATACCGCGTGTAGGTTCGCGCACGAGCAGCGATGATAAAGCGACGATGATGACGTAGTAGGAGGAATGGCGGTGAGAAAGATCATGCATCGACACGTCGAAACGTGTCGTCATCTCCACTTAACGCAGCCGGTCACGTCACGCGACATCAGGGATAAGTATAAGTTTTGTTAAGAAATACGATAGGTACATGCTCTTCAGTTTTTTTATCAATACGCTTTGTACATGATTGTGTTTAAACACAGAGCCAATAGTTCACAATCGAAGAAACTGTTCTTTTCAAAATATTCATAGGACGTCATTATATTCACATGAACGTTCGTACGCGCTACTTACACAATTTCAACCAATTTTTCGAACATGCATTTAATCATAAGAATGTTCTCCGACAACGATGAGTACATATGATCTATGCAATACTCGAAATCGTATATTCTATACATAGTGTTTTCGGTAATGAATATAGAAGTAACAGAATCGGTAAGTTTTATGCATTTTATATTGTTAAACATACTGACTTGATTTCGTGTAGCGATGATGTGGTCAGCAACAATCGTTGAATGTCCGCTTTTGTTCGTAACAGCTCTTTCCATGTTGATATGGGAAAGGATATTCCGTTCCTTCGATTATCTCCTATAGCTTTTTTTTTTTTTCGCGGGGGAAATGCATTATGCACACCTCGGAGTCCTGGGGTGGGACTCTCACCCACTAAAACCCCCGCGGCAGCCTTCTCGGGCGGAACTCGGCGGTGGCGGGATGTCGTATGAACCCACCGCCGCGCCTGTGCTCCCCTTATCGGAGAGCCCGTTCCGTGGGGGCGATCGAACGCCCCCCAGAGGTGACCGATACCCCGGTCATCCCCCTTCACTACTCCGCCAGCGTCAGAGGACTGCACTCCGACGCCGACACTACCGGGTCGCTTTGAATGCAGCCGGGGACCCCACCCCGACTGCATCAGCGGCCCCGGCGGACGCGCGCGCGAAGGCGGGAGCCACAGGAGACGAAGCTCCGGTTCCCGATGTCCACACACGCGTCCGCCCATACACGCAGGCCTCGCCTGCCGGAGAGCGAGGAGACGCCTACGGGGGGGGGGGGAATCTGTCTGCCCCCCCACCGGCGTCGTCGGGGCCGGCTGTGCGGGCTCCACGGCCCCGACCCCGACCACGCCTCGCTCTCCTCCTCTCTCGATGAGCGGGATCGCGCGCCTTGCGGTCCCGCTCGTCGTCCTCCTTCCGCGAGATGACGGTCTCACAGAAGAAGGACACCGCCCTCCACGACCTCTCGCTCCCCACCATGGCCGCAACCGCGGCCGGGAGCGAGAGGTCTCCCGCTATCTCTAAACGGAGCGCCCACCTCTCCCTGGCAAAGGCCAGGCACTCCTCCAACACGTGCTGCGCGGAGTCAACCTCCGCGCTGCACTGGTGGCACTCTGCCGTTGCCTCGGCTCCAACCCTCTGCAGGTACCACCCGAAGCATCCGTGCCCGGTGAGCACCTGCGTGAGCCGGTAGGATAGCCTGCAGTGCCGACGGTCCAGCCATCCAT